TTTCTGCTTGTCTGATTTCAACTTTTCAAGGACCACATCTTTCTCTGCTTGTTGTTTGGCCTTGGTTTGCAGCAATGTTTCGTTAGATCTGGCTTTCTCATAAAGTGTCTTAAGGTCAGAAAGTTGTTTTTCAAGCTCTTGCTTATCTGATTGGGTTTGTTCAATAYTTTCAACATTGTTAGCCAGTTCCTGCCTCAATTTATTACACGTTCCAGAGAAATCTTGTAGTTGGGATTGCAATACTGCTTCATTGGATTTAGCATCATTGATTTGTTTTTGAAGTTCACAGAGATCGTGCTCGAGTTTCTGCTTGTCTGCTTTTCCCTTTTCAACTTCCAGATCTTTTTCTGTCAGTTGCTGAACCTTAGAATGCAGTGATGTTTCATTTGATCTTGMTTCCTCGAGGAGGGTTTTAAGGTCAGAAAGTTGTTTTTCAAGTTCCTTCTTTTCTGATATGAGCTTCTGCATTATTGCATCCTTGTCAGCTAACTGATTATGCAGTTCATTAACTGATCCCATGCCGTCCTGCAGTTTAGATTGCAGTGATCGTTCGTTGGATCTGGYCTCTTTAAGTAGGGATCCAAGATCAGAAAATTGTCTTTCAAGTTCTTGCTTGTCTGATACCATATTTTCAATTATCTTGTCTTTTTCAGACGATTCTTGACTGATTACGTTACAAGAATCCGTGAGCTTGTGAAGTTTGTCTTTCAGTTCTTCTTCCTTAGATTTTGCGTCTTTTAGTTTAACTTCTAGSTCTTTTATGTTTTTGATGAAACACTTCTCCTTTTCCTGGACGTTTTGGCTCCACTCATCCTTAGATATTTCATATGACTTGACCTTTAAACATAGTGTTTCTACCGAATCCCTGGCGTCTTTCAGTTCAAACTCAAGTTGTTTGACACGCTTGGCAAGATCTTCGCTTTCTCTTTTAAACTTTTGGATATCGTTGTCTTTTTCAGACGTTTTTTGGTTCAGAACTTCATAAGCACTTTCCATGGACCTCATGTCATAGAAAAGCTGATCTTCAACCATGTTCGCTTCTTTTAAACGTCGTTCAAGTTCTTCCGATTGTTCTGTAAGGTCTTGATTCTCTCTTGTTAGCCTTTCAACATTTTCATATTTTTCAGTGATGGTGTTTCTTAGCTCTAAGTTAATCGCTTCAAGGGACTGAAGTTTTATTAGGAGGTCTTCATCTACAGTACTTTTGCTGTTGTCTTGTATGTTGTCATTGTCCAAGTTTTGATTGTGTGGTTTTTGATTCTCTGACAATTGTTCAACGTGGTTCTCTTTCGCCGAAAGCTTCCCAAGCAAATCAGCATTGTATGCCTCCGAAGCCTTCAGTTTTGACTCAAGTTCTTCTGAGGTACTTTCGAGGTACTGAAGGATGAATTTCATCTCATCAAGCTCACATTTATAAGCTTCCTYTTGATCACTAAGTTGTTTGGTAAGTTCTTTGTTTGAGGCGTAGAGTTTCTTTAACTCTTCACTTTCGTCGTACATTTCTCCATGGTCAACTTTAGGAGCCTTTTTCAGTTCGCCTAACTCTTTTAAAAGTTGTTTTTTATCTTTCATGAGAACCAAGTTAGCACTTTCAAGAACTGCTGTCCTTTCCTCCAAACGTTTTTGACTGTCAGCAAGGCTGGTGTCCTTCAATCAATCGATCAATCAATCAAACAATCATTCGGACAATCAATTAAGAAACAATCAGTAGATTGATCTAGCAATGCATTAATCTACTATCAACGACTACTCGATCGATCAATCAACCCTCACTATCATAATTATGAATCTTCTTTGACCGATATGTATGGAGCAATTGCAATTATGGTAACAATCGTATAATTCATTCAATCTAGTAAATGAACAATCAACAAACAAGATCAATCAGTTCATTAATGAATAATATAATTCTTCATAAAATATTGTATGCGGTCCAGTTTTATATCCCTTATATTAGTATCTGTAGTTCAGATTCCGTACAGGGCTTCCAGGCTTTTGTCATCATGTCTTATTAAGCAATAGGTACCTTGCGTACTTCACCAGCATAAAGGACTCTTAATCAATAAAAATGTGGCCCTAGTCAATACTGGGATGCTGTACGTTTCCAAAGAATCGTCACAATCGTCCAAAGAATTGATATCCATGCTAAAACGCATTTTCTGGGAAATTATTAAGCCTAATACTGGCCTGTTTTTACAGTTGTATCTTGCTCTGGCGTACCAATCAAAGTCATTTGCCTTCTTTTATTCATTCAACGCATGTTGAAAAACTGATATTCAAATAACTCAATGGAAATAATTTACAGACACTTGAGGATCAGCCTGAGCGAAATAAAGAACTGTAATAATGTAAGAATGTCAACACATCTTATTTTTCAATATGTTTGTGAGTGGAATCTTTCCATCACGAAACGTGTAACATACTGCATAGTGGCCGTTTTAACAAACGTATTCGCAAACGTAACATCAAAGTGTCGTAATATTCTTTTAGTTTACCTGGCTTGCTTTATTCTTGGAGAATTCTTCTTTGAGCTCATCTACAGTGACTGTCAGGACCTCCAACAACGAGGAGACATCCTTCGTTTGTGGTTCTTCATCAGAATTGGTAGAGCTGCCCGGTAGATCTACAGAGATGTTGTTTCCAGTATAATGCTTCTTTGCATCCACGATTTTATCGTAGAGATCTTGAAGCTGAGTGGCAATTTCCACAGAATTCCGCTTAAGGTATCGCTTAAGCTCTCTGTTATCTCTTGCGAGTTCCTCGTTTTTACGTTTGATGCGGCCGTCTTTGATCTTATACTCTTCCTCAGTTTCAACAAACTTCTTAGCCTGTTCCTCGTACCTCTCAGCCTCGCTTTCAAAGCACTTGACTCTAATTTCCAAGGCGTTGTGTTCGTATTTGAGTACATAGAGCTCGTTGTCTAGGCTTGCGACCTTCTTTGAGGATTCCTCGATAGTTTGTTTCTGGTCGGCGATAGTTTTCTCTAACTCTTGGATTCTTCTTTTAAGCTCGCTGCAAAAAAAAATCAAAAAAAATCAATGGTTGGGTGAATGAATATGAATTAGCCCTGTTCATCAGTGAAATATAAAACTTGTCATTGTTTTGCTTACTTCTCAGATGAAAGGAGATTCTTAATTTGGTTGTCTTTTGCTGGGCAACTCTTGCAATGCTGGGTTGCCTACAAGTATAAAGAAGACTAAGCATTAAAAAACAGTCGTTTCTCAATTTACTTCACTTTCGGGTGTGTCGTATTCGAAAACCGCATAGATAAATAAATCCAACCTGAACTTTTTGTTTTTTGTTGTGTTCCTCCGAATCAGATCCCAAAAGATCTGCAATGATATCATCGAGGTCACTGGAAGATGATTGGTTGTTGAGCGGACTCGTGGCTTTGTCATTGCCATCGTTGTCAGAGCCTTCAGGTTTATCAGCGATTGGTGGCAAAACAGGGAATGGTTTGATCACAATGCCAGCTCTGCAAATGAAATGATAAATGAAAAACATGAAAGTAAAGAAATGAATATTGGTTCATTTGAGGTTGCTTAGCACGAAAAAAATGAACGACGCGAAGCGGACAATGTCAGTGCATGACATTCACTGTTTTTACTGCTGTGTGACTTCCAGAGCGCATCAATAACTCGATAGATGTACGTTACCTATTAACCATTTTCTTGTTATTAGCACAAAATAGCGAAATTATTTATTGTTCAAGCTTTAGATTCTCAATACATCGCGCRGATATGAACAAAATATGAACCACAGGCAGCCCAAACACTAAATTTGGCTTGTTTTCATTGAGAATAGTGCTGAATAAAAACTGAATAAAATCATTTCAAATTTGAACGTAGTGTTCTTATTACCTTTCTCAACACCCCAAAGACGTTTTAGCACATTACGGTAAAATTTCGCTCACATTATAATATAATTAATATAATTATAAAACTTTACAATGAGTGCTTGGGCTGCCTGTTGTAGTAAACCTAGAGCGCAAAGCTACCAAGAAATCGTATTTTCCGTTACGTAAAGAGAAAGTTTTTTCTAAATAAGCTGATTTTAACTTGTTATTAAGAAAACCGTTTTCGCACTGACGAGCATGGCATGGAAAAATACTTGATTTTGCTGTAAAAACCTAAAATATTGATGATATTGCAGTCGGGAAAGCGACGAATGATGCCATCTGTAAGTATGTGTCTTTGCTGCTATTTCATGGACTTGAAAGTCTTGGAAGTCTTTTCAACTTGTCTGGAGAAGTAAGAAGYGAACTGACCCTAATAGATTAGCTAACTGGAATTCAAGTAAGACTGAGCTTATGTTTATTCAGCATTGCTTAAGCCTTGAACTAAATAAACTTAACTACTGAGAAATACCAAGACGATTGTCGTTTCTTAGCAATTTCTTCGGATGGCAGCTTTGCTTTGAAATTCTTTTTTCTTGAAATTTTCAGATTTTAATGCCTTTTCACTTTTAAACTATTATCAACTGTTAACCAGCTATTGAACTTGCTTTATAACTTTAGTTGCTTTCGACTGCTTTGTTGTAAGTTGAGCTTATGTCTTTTACAGTGTGACTACTGAAACCGGGGTCACCTTAAGAGAATATAAAATCCCAAAATTTAGATTGAAAACAAAGGCTTCAAACTATAAGGAAGCCTCATCTCATTAAGCTTTAGTTCTTTGCAATATCACTGATCATCGTTTTTTAGCTTTTTTAAGCCTTTTTTTTTTTTCAAAAGAAATTGTGATTATTTTACCGTAAAACATTCTCTAGGTGGTTCCAGTAGTCGCACTGTAAACCTTTTTGGATATTTAAGCTTAATTTTTGATATGCCATTTCCAACTTATACTAGTAGTTGACACTTACATTTTAACTCACATTTATGAATTTTTGGGCTTTTGTCAAAAAAAAAAAACATCTTTTTTTCACATTTGAGAAACTTACTCTGACGAGGTCCACGACTTAAGCTTATACCAAGCTCTCTGTATTCTTTTATAAGCTTATAAGTTCCATTCTCATATACTTACCTTTCTTATATCTATAAAATCATCGTAATTTTTTTTTACTTTTATCGAAGCTATAGCATTGTAACGTTTCCTACTTCATTCTTTTGTCTTATCTTGTTCCTATACCTTAATCCTATATTCATTATTCTTTTTCCTCGCTAAGAAACATTTAATAAAGAATACTGCACACAATTTAAATATGTTTTATTGCATTTTGGGATATCATGGGATCTGGTATGGTAATTGTTTAGAGTTTTTGGGTATCTAGGGGAGGGAGAAATATACATTTTGTATTCTTCTAATTAGTAATTTTTCTTCTTTTTCTTGTTTTTCTTCGTCGTCGTCTTGTTCTTCATCTTCTGCTTTTKGTTGTTGTTGTTRTTATTATTATWATTATTTCTCATCCAYATCSTACCAAACTTWTMTTTTCTATATCAAATAATGACCTAACAAAATATATATACTTACGGTGCGTGACCTGCGCCAAATCCTGCRTTCTGTTCATTCGCTGATACTGATGAACTCTGAGRTTTGTTATCTGGAGTTTCTGRAGTGGAATCCGATTCGTCCCAAGAATCTTCYTCGAAACTCGATTCATATTCGAAGTGACCCGTTTTGCTGTSATTTGTGAGGTTAACTCCGCAATTTATYGAACACTYGCTGTCCGAGTTGTCTGCTTTGCTGTTGGCTTGTGGCTTGTTGACTGAAGTTTCGGGTATCTTTCCGTCATTGTCGTCAGACATCTTGCCAACAGAAGCATGTGGTTCGTCATCACTAGACGAATTTTGCTCGCCAAGGGGCTTTGCCTTTTTGAGGACGGGAATTTTTGATTTTCGCTTTTTTCCTTCGCCGTCGCTTGACGAGTCGCTTGACGAGTCGCTTGCGACAGAAGACTTTGACGAGCTTGAGCCGTCATCTGTGTTGCCATTACTGCCGCGTGGATTTTTCTTACGAACAGGTATTTTTGACCTGCGTCTTGCATCCTGTTCGACGTCGCTGTCACCCGATGTTTCGCTGGACGAGCTGGAGTGTCCATTTTTATCCGAACTTTGTCGTGGCTTGGGTTTCTTGGCAGCGATAGTTTTTTTACTTCCGCCAGAAGTAAAGCGAGACGGTTYGAAGGTGTCTGCATCCTCGCCGGAGGATCCACCGCTACGGGAAGTTTTTCGTCTCCTTGCGTTTGATGGWCCGTCATCGYTTGATTTCTGATTTTGTAGGTGTGACATTTTTGCGCAAATTTGCTTGAAAAAATCGTTCTAAGAGTTTTAGTACGTTTTTCCGGGGATTGCTAATCTGTGTCRTTAGACTGTAATTAGCAAAGTGATTASCATTATGACGTAGTTTTATTTTATAACAAGCGCGCGTGACGTTCTAATTGATRGTTTTCACCCATTCCCATTAGATTCAAAAGATAAAAGACTGACGGCCATGTTGGAGGAATAAACAATAGACACTAATGAGAAATCCTTTGTTAAAGTTCCTCCAAGACGTAACCTGAAAACCAAGAATATACTTTTGAGCCTTTTACGTCACTTCTTGATTYTCAATGTATTGTGGGAGCAGTTTTTAGAGAAAACAAAAGAAATTCGCCATATTTGGTCCCAAACAAAAGCAGAAAAAAATCACTAAAAATTACAATTCGACTTTATATAGAGGGTAGGAAAGACTGCATTGGTTGGAAATTAGACGAAAAAAGTGGCACTGGTAATATAAAAAGAGATGGACATTCATYGGTAAAAAAAACTTAGTCCCAATTAGATATAATCCTGACAATATAAGCAAGCTGTGACGTCGTTAAAGAGGCRATTGGCCTTTCTATCTACCAAATGGAACTTTTAATTGCTACTCAGGTTTTCGCTGTGSGGATCATTTCATCCGCGGCGTCTGGTACCGTGTGCTGGATAAATAATYGTAAATTAATAACTTGACCGCTTTATTTTAGCATTTATAAATTTGAAATGAATATTCTGAAAAATCAAGGTTTTGTAATTATTTGTGTGATAATTCTGAAACGTGTTCCGCAAGGCCAGTAGTTTTCTCATCTAGCGATTGTTCAGTAAACTTTTTATAATTTTGTTTAAGGTAAATGATAAAATTGATAACTTCGTAGAATCTTCCATATATGATATCAAAGAGGCAAGATTTTGCTGTAACTCCGAGTTTCGTGCTACGCACTCATCAGACAGTATTAAATACTGTCTGATGAGTGCGTAGCACGAAACTCGGAGTTACAGCAAAATCTTGCCTCTTTGATATCATATATATAACTAACTCTACACTTTATGTTTATTGAGCAGCCACTTCCTCATACGATTAGAATCTTCCATATAATTAATTGGTMGGGCTGCCTGTGCTTTGTCTTGACAGCTGTCGATGGTAAGCGAGGTTTTGCATTATAAAGCCATTCAACTTTGCGGACACAAATTAACGATATATAGGCTATGCTTCATTTGGACTACCTGGAGAATAATTTTGGGCATTTGTAGTCATGTAYTGCAACAGCTGAACGCTCGCMAACGAGAGTCTATACCATTTCYTATCTTTACAGACGAAAGCGAACTCAAACTCTTTTCCTTTGTGAAGGTAAAAAGATAACCTTCCTTTTTACATTTCTATGTTTTCATTTACAATTCGATAGAATTTCTAGTCGATCGGAACAACAAACATTACAATATTRACGGATTTACTGTTGCAATTTATTGTAGAAACCCAACAATCCAACATGGAAACTGACTGGATTAACTACAAGTGTAAGTCAGGCCAGACTCTGTTYATCTACAACAAAGTGACAGGAGAACACAAGTGGCCTACTGGCGATGTAAGTTTGTTGTGCATATGTAATTCACACTCATTTTGACTTTATCTAAACCTCATGGAATGACATAAAAAAACCAAGAAGATTGAAATCTGTTTTCTAGTAAACTTATTCTTCRGATGTCGCGACATTGAACCGAAAACGACACAATACAAAAGTRAATAGAATGGCAACACTAAATTTGAATATGGTCTTATGTCAAACGCTTCATTCATTGGTGCACGTGTTTTTAGCAAGAGAGCTGTCGCTTGAAAGCAAAATGATTCATATTCATTTTGGGTGATTATCACTCCATATGAAGGTTTTAATGATCCTCTTCCTATATATTTTTTTATGTTGATCATTGATATTAAGTGGCTGGTCATTAAATTCCTTTTTGGGAGTTGGGGGATAGATAATTTTGATATGAAAATTAAATAGGTCCTTTGCAGCTGGGAGTCACGTGACCACTCCTTCCTTAAATCAATCAGCTATCAAAAAAATGATGTTCAGTAATGGAAAGACCAGTTTTATGTTGGTAAAGTGGCAAAGTCTCAAGTCTCAACTCTAGATACTTCAAAAATGACAGCAAATGTAAAGTATTGATTTTTCTACTGAGAAACGTATTGGAAAATAAAACTGGAGAGCAAGCCTTGCTCTTGCATATGCCTTCTTACTTATTTTGATCCCCTCTTTCCATTTCTGAACATCATTTTTTGATAGCTGATTGATTTAAGGTAAGTGTGGTAACATGACCCTATAGTGTAGAACAAATGGTAGCCTGCTTTGCAGACTAAATATTCATGCTTGACAATCTCCCTATTTCTGCGCATTGTTATTGCCGTTTTGCTCAGCTTTTTGTCAATAACATGTAAATGCAATAGGGGATGACCATTGACTTTTGAGGAAGAGAGTTGGTTGACTATGAAAATACAGTTGGATATCCCATTCTTTCAGTCAACTATAATTAGCATACAATGTATATGAGATAAGGCTTCCTTTAGCAACTTAGTAAAGTGCTTTACTACTATTTTTAATTGATTGTAGGGATCCCTAGATGGAACTATCATGGAAGGTCAACCGATAGTATTAAAACAGACCTGTAGTACTGGTACACAGACAGATGATAATGGCTGTAATAATGGCTGTACTTCCATGTACATTAATCCTACTAACACTAACCCAAGTCCATCAAATCTTAACAAACCTGATGCCATGAGYGATGTTAGTGATAACGAAGAACAGAGCTCAAATGTGAATAACATATCTGCCACAGCTGATGTTTCAAGTGAAGACAGTGAAGTCCCTGACAGAGATTGCATCCAGGGATATCAGACAGGTCAAGGCTCAGAGTYTACAATACTAGAGCTTGTAAAGCATATTAAGGTGGAAGAACCTGTAAAGAAGCCCACTGAAAAGAGGAAATTTCAGTGTTCATTTTGTGAAAAAAGGTTTGCGCATAAAACCCCCTTTAGGGCTCATCTTAAAATTCATTCTGGAAAGAAGCCATTTAAATGTCCACAATGCCATAAAGCATTTGTCCATAAGACTACTATGATTGAACACGTTCGAGTGCACACTGGAGAGAAACCATAHCAATGCCCTTATTGTAAGAAGAAATTTCCACGAAAAAGTCCATTGAATGCTCATATCAAAACGCATACTGGAGAGAAGCCCTTTCAGTGTCTTCATTGTGAGAAGAAATTTGCACTAAGGAGCCAATTGACGAGGCATCTTAAACTACTTGCTGGAGAGAGGCCATTCCAGTGTCATCAGTGTGAAAAGAAATTTGCCTCGAAAACCAATTTGAATAATCATATTAARTTGCATTCTGGGCCACTAGAGAAGCCATTCCAGTGCTCTCAATGTCAAAAGAAATTCGCACTAAAGGGCCATTTGAGCAAACATCTTAAAGTGCACACAGGGGAAAAGCCATTCCARTGYCCTCAATGTGAAAAGAAGTTTGGCGAAAAACGTACTTTAAAGGATCATCTTAGAACGCACACGGGAGAGAAACCATTTGAGTGCGCTCAATGTCAGAAGAAATTTTCCCTGAAGAGCCATTTGAAAAGGCATCTTGTATTGCATACAGGAGAAAAGCCATTTCAGTGCCCCCAATGCGARATGAAATTTGCATTTAGAAGCAATGTAACAAGTCATCTTAAGACGCACACTGGAGAGAAACCATTTCAATGTCATCAATGCGAGAAAAAATTTGCAGAAAAGAGGCATTTGAAGAGRCATCTTGTAATGCACAGCGGAGAAAAGCGATTTGAATGTCCAGACTGTGAGAAGAAATTCGCACTAAAGKACGCTTTGAATGTACACCTCAGACTGCATTCCGGAGAGAAGCCATTTGAATGTAATCACTGTGACAAGACATTTATGATGAAAGGAAATTTGAATAAGCACCTTAAAATCCACACTAACGAGGCATTGCAATGTCCACATTGCGTCAAGAAGTTTACATCAAAGTCYCATTGGAAAACTCATCTTAAAATCCATACTGATGATAARCCATTTGAATGCAATCTTTGTGACGAGAAGTTTCGATTGAAGAGCGTTCTGAAAAGACATCTTAAAATGCATGCGGGAAATAAGCCATTTGAATGCCCTCATTGCCAGAAGAAATTTTCCCACCAATACATTTTGAATAGACACCTCGTAGTGCACACTGGAGAAAGGGCGTTTGAATGCCATCTGTGCGAGAAAAAATATGCATTAAAACGTAGTTTAACTGTACATCTTAGAGTCCACACTGGAGAAAAGCCGTTTGAGTGYCCAGAATGYGAGAAAAAATTCACAACAAACAGGAATTTGAAAGAGCATCTCACAGTGCACACCGGAGAGAAGGCATTTCCATGTCCGATCTGCAATAAGAAGTTTTCCCGACAGTCTGGCTGTAGGCGTCATCTCAAAACCCACAGTGGAGAAAGGCCCTTCAAATGCACGCATTGYGAGAAAAGGTTTYTGTTTAAACATAACTTAAATCTTCATCTGCAAATTCACGCTGGAGTGAGATCTTATGAGTGTCACATTTGCGAAAAGAAGTTTGTGCAGCAAAGTTCTTTGAGRAGTCATCTTCGAACSCATGTAAAATCTGAGAAGTTATTTAATTGTCCTAATTGCGATAAAAAGTTTGCACGAAAACAGCTATTGAGGAATCATCTCAAAACACATGATATCGAGAGAGAGGTTTTTGGATGTTCTAGTTGTGAAAGGACGTTTTTAACSAAAAGAAGTTTAATATCACATCAAAAGCTTCACAGTGAAGGGAAGCCATTTAAGTGTTCCTATTGCGACATGCAATTTGTAGGAATAAAAGGTTTGACTCAACATACGAGAAAACACACAGGAGAGAAGCCTTTTCAGTGCACTAAGTGTGACAAGAACTTCAAAAGACGGGGACATCTCTTCAACCACATTACAAAGGTACATGGCGAAGAAAAGGCATTCCAGTGCACGTATTGTCAAAAGCGATTCCTATTCAAACATCACTTAGATGCTCACCTCAGAATGCACAATGGAGAAACGTTCAAATGTCCACATTGTAAYCAAGAGTTTACACACGAGTTTGCTATGAAGAAGCATGCTCAAACACATTCAAAGGAATAAAGGTTTRGGATTTTTGATGGAAATATCATTGCTGGCAGCTAGCAAACACTTGCCCAAAGCTGCATAAAATCAAATTGCAGGACAAAAAAATGTTAAAGAATAAAGAAAATAGGAAGAAGAACAAAAGAAAAAATGGTTAAAATCGAGAAAGCCGTTGATTTGGCATTGCCATCTCTGAAGCCCAAAAGAGGCTGAAAGCTAGCTGAGCTTTAACAGATTGCAAGAACGTCATCTGTTTGTTGCTTGGTTCAGTGATTCTCAGTTCCATGATACTTTTCTTTCATCCCAACGAAAGTCGAACTACTATGTATTTARATAGAAGAACTACTGCAGGAGATGGCGATATGCAGAAACAAATCATTCAAAATACCACTATAGACTAAATACCACTCCTCTAGACCAATCAATTGCACAATTTTATTCAACCACATTATATAAAAAAATAGCTTTGTAAACGACGGTTGTGAAACCAAGCGACATTTTCATTTATACAGTAACGACGAGGCTCATTTGCCTAAATACTGGAMAGCATGGAATCGTCCGGCAGATAATGCGTACCTCCACACATTGTTTGGTSTATGTAGTCGTGGTCATCATGTTACCTTCTGAATCTGACAATGCTGATTGAGCTGATTCCCTAGGAATGTTTAWTAAAAATCGATGTGTAAGTGATTGAGTGAAAAGTAACTTTTATGAGGACATATTMATTGGATATGAGACCTCCATTCCCGGGATCGGCAGCCAGACGAGGTTAATTTCTAAATAACTATTTTTCCGAATTTATATCCTAAGGGTCTTTCTCCTGGAATTGCCTCCTTTTAAAGGGACACTGTCAATGGATGACATGCGCAGTAACAGTCTCGCCTCTAACGGACTTTGAAAGTATTACCTTCGAGGTAAATCATTTTGTGGTGCTTTTGATACACTTTGAAATATTCTAGATCTGTTTRCGTTTACGAGCTGATTTATGTCGCGCCAACTTGGAGTCATAAACTTGAAAACACTACAAGTTTACTCGCGCATGCGTGCCATTGACAGTGTCCCTTTAAGCACTATAACTTTCTTTCATTTCTATGTAATTTCTATAACTAAGTCATACTTCAACTAGGGATGCAACAAAACAAAGACAATAGTTTTTCACGATTGACTGAGCTTTACGCACGGTGCCTCGTTTTGATTCCTTTGTGTTTGACTACTGAGGTGAAATTCGCAAATCAGGTATTCCCTTAACTTTTATTTTTGTAATAAAAACCAGGAAAAACCTGATTGCATCAATTATTATAAGAAAGACTGCTTGCAAAGTAAACTGTTTTATGGTGCGTCAGCTAAATTCCTTTGAGTGAACTAAAGTTCGTTCTGTCTCGCTGTGATGCAACRGTTGCAAGGGTTCGGTTACCCACAGGCAACCCAAGCASAGCATTTGATTCAATAATAAAATACATYTCACATGACGGCGAATTTTTTTAAAAAATAGCTCTAAATGCCTTCAAAACCATACACAGCAATGTTAAATAACATCAGCAACACCATATGAGATTAAGGTAAATGTATTTTATTAAAAAAACAATGTTGAATCAAATGTTCTGCTTGGGCTGCCTGTGGGTTGCCTTTCAAGTTGGCGCTGGGTACTGAGACTCGGGCTGTATATAGGGTAATGCCTCCGTTCTCGGTAACTAACTCTTACTTAATCTAAATGAGGCATGAGATAAACATATATACCGAAAACAAATGATTTTAACCTGTAAATAGGAATTTGCATTATATATCTGATACTCCCTGGGTCACGAGACATCAGCATAAGTCACGAGACATGAACGAGTCAAATTGCCTATGAATAAGTCAGTTGGAGGTCCGGAATTTTTCAAAGTTTTCTTCATTGGATTGGTTGATGTTCTAGAAAATCCGCCTGGCATCTATTCAGATAGGGGAAAACTTGCCAAAAGACAGCAATTGTAGATTTTCAATGCCAGTTCGCTCGTTATGAATCCAGGGCGCGGTAGCCACGAGTTTTAAAATTGTCCTTATTTCTGGGACAACACTAATATTTGTAATGTGTTCGAATGGTTATTGTTGTAAATTTTGGTTCGGTGGAAACCARACCAAGCGTACCAGTTTGCGACGGATCTGGAATCTTTTTTTCTATATGTCATGCTCCTACTTAGTAGAACACTCAAAGGTATATTCCAAATTAAATCAAATTAAATATATCATAACTAGTGCAATAGGGCGAGAAGGGGCCCGTCAGTAATAACAGGTACTCTTTCCAACTTAACACGCCGGATGTAGGCTATCATTGAAARTGTTTCAATTCAGCACGAACYTGCGTCAATTTTTATACACCTTATTAAAGATTTGCGTACCGGGATATCCTGTTTAGAATGTCATTTCATAAGGTCAAGGTCTATGGGCAA